GGGCCGGTCCCCGGCGCGCGCTGTGCCCTGGGAGGGCCCGGCATCCCCGCCGCCCCTCGAGGTCTGGGCCGGGACCAGGCGGCCCCGCTTGATCGGGGCCTGGCGCATGGTTGGGCGAACGAGGGAATGGACACACTCGGGTTCCTCGTGCCAGGTTTTCGGGGGGGAGGAGGTCACGCAAGAAAAGTCGAGCCACCCCCACTCCAGCGCTCACGTCCTCGGGGACCGGGCCAGGTGGACGAGCGCCCCGGACGCCGCCGCGCCGCCCCAGGCCCGCGCTTACCGGTGCGTCTCCCCGCCGGCACCGAGTATTCCCTGCCGCGCCGCAGTCCGCCGACCCAGCCCGCCGCCGCCGCTCTAGACACTGCTCGGATTTAAAGGAGTCCTGTCGCTTTAAATCCGAAATCCCGCGCAGGCGCCGGTTCTCGCGATCTCCGAGGCCGCCTACATATTACCCACAATTCCCTTTCCTTTCTCTTTCCTCCAGCCGTCCAAGATGGTGAGCGAGGCTTGCGTGGTGCTGGTGCCGGGTCTGGGTTCTATCCGCTGCAATCCTCTTCCGCGCGTGGTCGTGCGGGGCTCCGGCTCCGCCTGGCGCTGGGAGAGCCGTGCCGGCATTGGCACGGAAGCATTAGGCCGGGCTGCGGTCCCCGGCGGGGGAGCGGGGTGCGCCGGCTTCTGTAGTGCCGGGCCTGGGGGGAGGAGGGTCGGGGCGCAGCGCCGCAGTGCGGGACTCGCGGTCGACGAGATGCTGGAGGCCGCTCTGCAGGCGCGCGCGGGGCAGGGGGGCGGGTACAGAGTCCCAGGGGTCACCTGTGGGCAGGAGCGGCTTGTGCAGCTCGGGCGACGCGAAGAGCGTCCAGCCAGGGTGTCTGAGCCCCGGCGCTGAGCCGGGCCCTGGCCTCCCTGGAATCCGTTCCCGTGCGGGTGACGTGACGTGAGCTACTTCGCCGTCTGAGCGACGCTGAGGGCGTCTCTGCCACCGTGATCGGTGAGGGACGGGGGGGACGCCGGGCTCGCCGGCGTGGTGTGGACTGGGGCTGCCGGCCCCTCTTGTGTCTGGAGCGCCGGGCCCGGGTCTCGCCCCCAAAGAGGCGAGCGGAGGCGGCGGTTTAACTGACTTTTCCCTTCTGCTCAGCCGAAAGGAAAGAAGGCCAAGGGGAAGAAGGTGGCCCCGGCCCCTGCTGTGGTGAAGAAGCAGGAGGCCAAGAAGGTGGTGAACCCTCTCTTTGAGAAGAGGCCTAAGAACTTTGGCATCGGTAAGAAACGGGGATGGAGAGGGCTGGCTTGTGTTAAGGAGTGATGGCGGCTGTGCTGGTGTGTGCCTTGCAGGTTTTGGGGGTTGAGTCTGGTAGATGACAGTCGAGGCTGCTGGGACTGCCACTCTCATAGCTGTAGGCTGGGCTCAGGTCGCGGCCTCGCATGGAGATGGGGGCCGAGAGGGTCCTCCGCTGTGACGGGTGCCACGGTGAAAAACACTCTTCTGTGAAGAGTGCCCCAGTGGTTCTCCCGTCTCTGTGACGTGAGCCTTTGTGATTGGCCATCTTCTGATGTGGCCATCCTTCTGGCTTGTGAGTTGCTAAGTGTCCGAGCGTGTCTCAGCCTTTAGTTCCATGGGCTTCTGCTCGGCCATCAGGAAATAACTGGCCGTCAGAGCGAGGTGCTGTGACTGGAGTACAGCTGTGCTTGTTAAATGAAGACAGGTATCGCTGGTCTCAGCCGTGCTCTCAGGTGTTTGTGTGCAGATGATGTAGAAGAATATTTGCTATCTGGAAGAAGGTGATGACGCTGTGAAACCACCAAGATCGCTGATGCACCAACAAACACCCTTCTGAGTGGCCCTAGATGTGAACTTGATGGAGTTTGAGCCTCACTCGGTTTTACCTTTGCCCCCCCCACCCCTCAGGACAGGACATCCAGCCCAAAAGGGACCTCACCCGCTTTGTCAAATGGCCTCGGTACATCCGGTTGCAGCGACAAAGAGCCATCCTCTATAAGCGGCTGAAAGTGCCTCCTGCCATTAACCAGTTCACCCAGGCCTTGGACCGCCAGACAGGTGAGGCTCTGGTACGCCAACATGTGGAAAGTTTCCTAGGCAAGGATGCGGCTAACAGCTTTATGTTGACAGTGTGGGATCTGAGGCCTCTTGGGGTGGGATTTTCATGGGGATGCGATTTTTATTTATTTTGTTTTGTTTTATTTTATTTATTTCATTTTATTTTGAGTTGGAGTCTCACTCTGTCGCCCAGACTGGAATGCAGTGGCTGCTCCCGGCCACCGTAGCCATCTCGACCTGCTGGGCTCTGGCGATCCTTCCGCCTCAGCCTTCCGAGTAGCTGGAACTATAGGCACACGCTACCATGCCCGGCTCATTTTGATTTATTGTAGAGATGAGGTCTCGCCAAGTTGCCCAGGCGGGTCTCAAACCTGCGGGCTCAGGCAGTCCACTCACCTCAGCCTCCCAAGGCTCAGGATTACAGGCTGAGCCACCGAGCCAGGCTGGGATGCGATTTTTAAAATGTAGGACTCTTTATCCAGAACTTGAAAGTGGCCTAATGAAGAGATTGTGTGTGTGGTCTTAGACTTCTTGTTATTGATCTGCAGCTGACATACTTTATGTCATTATTATATTACACCAGGACAGCAGTCTAATGTGTTACGTTAAGTGACAATGGTTAAAACTTTAACCGCAAGCCTAAATGGAAGTGTCTTCTCAGCTACTCAGCTTCTTAAGCTGGCCCACAAGTACAGGCCAGAGACCAAGCAAGAGAAGAAGCAGAGACTGCTGGCCCGGGCTGAGAAGAAAGCTGCTGGCAAAGGGGACGTCCCAACCAAGAGGCCACCTGTCCTTCGGGCCGGTGAGTAGGCCCACCTTAGAGAGGATGGACTTTGGGGCAGGCTGTGACAATGATGCAAACTTTTTTCACTTAAAACTACCATGAGGAGTAAAACTGAGCTTTTTAACACTGAGTCACAGCTGAGCACAACTGCTTTTTGTGACCAAAGCAGTCCCTGTGAATGCTCATGCAAAGTGTGTGTGTGTTCTAGGGGTCAACACCATCACCACCTTGGTGGAGAACAAGAAGGCTCAGCTGGTGGTGATTGCACATGACGTGGATCCCATTGAGGTATGTGTGACCACTGGTTTGCTAGCCTTGGGGTCTAGCCCAGGGAGATGGAGCAGGCTTCATACTAAGTCAGGCGTGGGACCCAAGCCGCGGCTCTTGCAATGATGTGAATCTTTCACTGAATTAAACCTTGAAATGCAAATACATGAGCTTTTTAACCCTGAGCAATTGTTTCCAGGATAGTTTTTAAGTACTCCTTTTGGTCAAAATACGCCCTTCAGCGAATGCTTTCTTTCAGCTGGTGGTCTTCCTGCCTGCCCTGTGTCGTAAAATGGGGGTTCCCTACTGCATCATCAAGGGGAAGGCAAGACTGGGGCGTCTGGTCCACCGGAAGACCTGCACCACTGTCGCCTTCACTCAGGTTAACTCGTAAGTTGCGGTCTCGCCCCAAACTCCCCTCCCGTTTCATCCATCCCCTCAGAATTTTTTACTTTCTGAGCCAACCCTTTAGCATACAGAGTACATTTCCCTGAACTTTTGCCAATGATGGTTAAGAATTTCTTCACCTGAATGAGCCATGTGGTCATATTGTGTCTGAGGCAGAAGACTTTGTTTTGCTAAAAATGAAGGCATTCCTGATTTCTAGCAGGGCAACTGAAGCCAAAAGCCCACATTTTTTCTCCTGCCTTATTAGGGAAGACAAAGGAGCTTTGGCTAAGCTGGTGGAAGCCATCAGGACCAATTACAATGACAGATATGATGAGGTAAGAAAGCAGCTTTACACAAAACTGTGTCGTGGGAAAATCTAATCTATCTATCTCAAAGACTGGCTAGTTCTGAACTCTGAGCAATTTTATTTGAGTGTCTAACTTGGAACATCCAAATAGAGCAGCACTAACTAGCATGTTTTGAAAGCTCCAAATGACAGGTGACCTGGGCAAGCTGACGACTCTTCTCTTTTCAGATCCGCCGTCACTGGGGAGGCAACGTCCTGGGTCCAAAATCTGTGGCTCGCATTGCCAAGCTGGAGAAGGCAAAGGCTAAAGAACTTGCCACTAAGCTGGGCTAAATGTACACTGCTGAGTGTTCTGTACATAAAAATAATAAAAATTCTTCAGCCAGTGTCAATGGAGTATTTTGGTTGAAGGCAGTAATCGTGTTTGGGGGTAGTGGCAAGACCTTCAAGTCAGGCTTGTTCCCTGTCGATAGGAGTTAGAGCTCGTCAGACATAACTGACTTGCATGTTTAAAAAGCTGTCTTAAACACTTCGGGAAGACTGAAACAAAGCAAGGAAGGAAGGCTCAGTAGCAAGCCTTCAGCATGCATGGGCTGCCGGCACCACGTGCATCCCCACACCACTTGACAGCACACCTGAGGTTTGAGGGTTTGCCCTTCTCCACTCAGAACAAGGTCAGGAATTTCAGACAATTATTTTAAAAGGCTTAGGACTTTATTTATGCCAACAGCACATGATCCACAATAAAACTGGTTTGGAAAAATGGTCATTCTGTGATTTCCTAATGATTCAGGGACAGGGCAATGTCAGCTGTCATCAAGCACCAGGTGTCCAATGCAGGAATTTCTTGAACCACAGATATGATGTGGCAGCGGAGAGTCCGTACCTTGGGTTGAAAGATAACCTGTTAGGCTGACTCGCATATGGAAGAGGTGGGAGCCAGGGACTGCTGGGGACTCACCAGGTGACAATGTACTGTAGGTGCTCATTCCTCAGGGTGACTCTGGTTTGCCCTCCGATGGGTCCTCCAGGTACTGTGCTCTCTGCAGAGACCATGAGCATACGTCCTCAGGTCCCCTGGTGCTGCACTAGCTACAGAACCAACTCCCCAAGCTGCTGTCCCATGAAGCCTTTCCAACCAGCCACAGTGTGCTGCCCTTTCCTCGATGCCTGCCAAGCAGTTTCTCAGCTGCTGAGCTGCCACCTCCCCCTACAGACACACCTGCTAGGGCATAAGCCACAGAGAAGCTGCAGATGCCCAGGGTTGGGAGGCTGGGCAGGGCCTTTACAAAAGCTACTCGTTCTGGGGTGGGCTGGTCATAACGTACGAAAGTTGGCATCAATGAAAATGGGCTCTGCGCCTGTGATCCTGGCCATGGCCTCCAGGTCGCGGTAATGCCAGTGGTTCCTTTCCGGATTGTTCTCGGGGACAAAGGGTTTCCTGGTTTCTGCCAGTCTCACCATCCCAATCAGGTCCACTTCTCCTTCAATCTGCAAAGGAAGACATGAAATTGCTCCACATGAACGCTGCCTCAATCCCAACAGGGACCTTGAAAGCCACAGGAACCTGTGTTCGTTACCTGGCCCTTCTGCCGGGTACCGGGATTCACTCTTTTCCTGGGGACAAACCCTCTGTTTACCAGGATGGTGACTCTAGGGTAATAAAAGTATAAAAATCACCAATGGTCACTCAGGCATCCACAGTAACAACTAGAGCACCAAGTTTTCAAACAGGACTGAGTGGGAGAAGAGCCCTAGTAGTGCCGCCACTGGTTGGTAAATCCTGCCCGTCCCCCACCCTTCTTACCAACCAGACTTCTCAGGTTTCTGGTTTAACAACCCCCTCTGCTGTTTTCCTTCCTTGCATCCCACCCACTGCAGTGAGCAGCCGGTGACCAACACTGCTGTGCCAGAGTTCGGATGCCCACCGCTTCCTTAGACTAGGGCAGTAGCTGCCTCCAGTTTCCCCTGGACAGCCCCAAGGAGCAGTCCTGGCACACCAGCCTGCTGGAGAGGCAGCACTCGGGTCCCACTACAGCCCTAGAACAGAAACCCCTGGGGTAACAAGAGCTCTAGCTATTTCCACTTGTACGTGAATCTTCCAGCTCCCCAGTTAATCTCGCAAGTCCTTGCCTCCTGTTATTTCCTCTGCCCAGAACGTTCCTCCCATCTCAGCATCAGAGCTCAACCAACGTACAGAAGTCGCTCAGTCATAAATGAGTTGGCTAAGAAAGTCAGCTGGTCCATGTCACAATTCAGAATGTCAAACTCTTCAAGGAACTGAGCCTTTCTGGGTATCCTGGCTTCCCCAGGGTCTTACCAAGGGTGCTTCCACATGACCACTCACCCCAGGTCAATGCAGTGGAAGGGGGTAACCACATAGGCCCCACTTGCGGTGGAGGAGGAGATGCGGCCGGCCTCCCGGGCCTCGCGGGCAGGGTCCACCATGGTCCGGGGCATCATGTACAGCTCCTTGGAGTGGTCAAAATGGCCCCTGACCCTCACTGGCCTATACTCCAGCTTTCTCAGTTCCATCGGGCTGCACGGAGACAAGAGCAGTGGCTGAGCAAGGTTGGGCCAGAAAATGAATCTCCTAAGGGGGTGGCAAGCAACAAAGCCCACTAAGCCCCACCAAGTCATGGAGAAAGGCAAAGGGCGGGCACAGGGCTGTCAGTGCTCTCTGTGGGGGGGGGGTCCTCTGCTCCAGCCCTTTGGTGCCACATGGGAACGTGAATCTGCTGCTAGAGACCACATTTACAACAGAAACTAAAAACTTAGACTCCTGTAAGACTATTTTATATGAAACTAATAAAATATGTGGGTGAAAACCCCAACTGCAAGCCAAACATGGCATACCGTTTGCTGCCGGGAATGGAAAGCTTGGTTGTATGTACCTGTCTGTCTAGGTGCTTCTGATTGAGGGGAGAGGCCAGCAGAATCATTTAGGGTACTTTTTAAAAATGCCATCATCATGTTGAGACCTACATTATCTGCCCTCAGCCACCAGCTAAGATTCAATGCTATAAGAAGGGGGCTGTCAGCACAGTGTGTCCTCAACTACACTAGACCTGAAAAAAGGCTGACACCAAGGATCCAGAATAAGGCTTTCCTACAGATGTCAGGAGGTCTCAGGCAGCTTTGCAAGGGCAGTAAGGTGTCGAGAGCAAGCCCAGTGGATGACTGATCTGGACAGCTCCCATCTGAGGTCAAGAAATGATTGACAAAGGTCCTGCCAAGAGGGGCTGGGTGGCAGAAGCCAGGCATCTGCTGCTGACACCCTGTGAGATCAGCCCTGGGTGGGCAGCCACGCACGCACTCTGCTGGCAGAGGGATGGGCTCAGCCAGGACTCGAGACTCCAACTCTGCTATCAGTTTCAGCTTCCACTTCCGACGCTGGACCTGCAGAGACAGAGGATAAGCCTGAGCAGGTGGCAGCAGGGTCAGGGCTCGAGGGCCACCCAACCCCAATGTGTCTTTACCTGCCAGGTCCCCAGGCCAAAAGCAGTCACAGGGATGAGAAGCAGGAACCACTTGAGAAAGGAGTCATCTCCTGCTTTTGTGACAGGTGCTTCTGCTGCAGAACTGCCACACCGGCTTGGCCTCCAGGCCACCCCTGGAGAAAGTTTCACAACACTGGCGTGGGGTCAGAAGTCCTGGAATAAAGAGACTTAGAACAGCCAATTCCACAAGAAGACTCCACCAACACTGCCCAAGAATGTGGCAGAGGAGCGAGAAGACCAAAACCTGCTGCCTAGAGCCAACGGGCAGCACCTCTATCCAGCCTAGCTCCTAACCCAATGCCTGACACATGGCAGGAACCCAGTAATGTTTGTTGACTGACTAAATGAGATCCAGGGCTCAGTCACCAATCATGGGTAACTTGGGTAACCAACTAATGCCTCTTTACGTAAGTATGCTAAGATGTGTTCTACTATACTAGGATGCACAGGATTCATTTGTTCATTCAAAAGCATTTAATAAGCAGCCACAGCTATTAAGTAGCTTAGCCGGGCACTACTGGTTATTCTACTATGTAGAGAAAGAAAAATGGTACTGCCGGACGTAGTGGCTGATGCTTATAATCTCAGAACTTTGGGAGGCTGAGGCAGAAGGATTGCTTGAGCCCAAGAGTGGAGTTCGAGACCAACCTAGGCAACATAGTGAGACCTTGTCTCTACCAAAAAAAAAAAAATAGCCGAGTGGGGCATGGTGGCACACACCTGTAGTCCCAGCTGCTTGGGAGGCAGTCAAGGCTGCAGTGAGCCGTGATCATGCCACTGCACTCCAGCCTGGGTGACAGAGTGAGACCCCAACTCAAAAAAAGTAAAGATATTTTAACTGCTTTCCCTTTTCACAGCCCATCATAAACGATAAGATGAAACAATGTACACAGGAGATGCCTTTAAGCTCTCAGAGGGTGAGTCCTAACAGCTGAAAGCACCACAGAGTCTTGTGAATACAAAACAAAGCACCTGTAATCCCGCACCTTTGGGAGGCTGAGGTGAGTGAATTGTCTGAGCCCGCGGGTTTGAGACCCACCTGGGCAGCAAGACCTCATTTCTACAATAAATCAAAAAATCAGCCAGGCGTGGTAGCGCATGCCTGTAATTCCCGCTACTTGGAAGGCTGAGGCGGAAGGATTGCCAGAGCCCAGCAGGCGAGGCTGCAGTGGCCGGGAGCAGCCACTGCACTCCAGTTTGGGCGACCGAGTGGGACTCCAACTCAAAACAAAACAAAACAAAACAAAGGAGTCAGGCCTGGGGCAGCCATTAGAGACAACATGTACACCATGGTGGTTATGAGACAGAAGACCTAACGTAGCTTAGATATGGTGAGTTTCTCACAGGCAGGCTTAGACAATTAGGAAACCAGATAGTCAGGCATCTGGGCACTGTCTTATCGGGACCAAAACTCGGGCTTCACCTTGGAAGATGGGGCATTTGGTTACTGCAGACATTAAGGAGAAACAATTAAGGAGTAAATTTCCTATCATCTCAGAAGTTCCTGTGACACTGAAGCACAGTGCTCTAAGAGAAAACATAATTAAATAGCAACTTTCCTATTATTCCCAAAGTTCCTGGTGACACTTGCAAACCTTAAAAATAAAATAAGGGTTAACATCTGAGATCAAAGCTTGGTTTACAAATAGGTTGCTTAGCCAGGCTCGGTGGCTCAGCCTGTAATCCCAGCGCTTTGGGAGGCTGAGGTGAGTGGACTGCCTGAACCTGCGGGTTCCAGACCCGCCTGGGCAACTTGGTGAGACCTCATCTCTACAATAAATCAAAAATTAGCTGGGCGTGGTAGCGTACGCCTGTAGTTCCGGCTACTTGGAAGGCTGAGGCAGAAGGATCGCTGGAGCCCAGCAGGTCAAGGCTGCGGTGGCCGGGAGCGTGCCACCGCACTTCAGAGTCTGGGTGACAGAGTGAGACTCCAACTCAAAAAAAAAAACCCAAACAACAAACAGGTTGCTTAACCATCATTTTGGAAACATAAGAACACTCTGTTAACAGGAAAGATGTGTTCTTTCCCTTAAAGGCACCCATGTTCTCTCTTGAACGTGTCTTTTGGTCCACTAATAAACTTATTTATTATTTACTGTTTGAGTAGGAGTCTTTACTCTATCGCGCTGGCCGGAATGCAGTGGTACGCTCACGACCACTGCAGCCTCGACCTGCTGGGCTCAGGCGATCCTTCCGCCTCAGCTTTCTTTTTATTTTTTTGAGTTGGAGTCTCACTCTGTCGCCCAGACTGGAGTGCAGTGGCGGCTCCCGGGCACCGCAGCCTCGACCTGCTGGGCTCCGGCGATCCTTCCGCCTCAGCCTTCCGAGTAGCCGGAATCACAGGCGCGCGCTACCACGCCCAGGCTGATTTTTTGATTTATTGTAGAGATGAGGTCTCGCTGCCCAGGCGGGTCTCGAACCCGCAGGCTCAGTCAATCCGCTCACCTCAGCCTCCCAAAGGCGCGGGATCCACCTCAGCTTTCGAAGTAGCTGGACTCGGGCGCGCGCCACCACGTCCGGCTATTTTTATGATTTATTTTTGAAACGCGTTCTCGCCAAGTTGCCCAGGCTGGTCTTCAACGCCTGGACTCAGGCAATCCTCTCGCCTCTGCCTCCCAAAGGTCTGGGATTACAGGCGTGAGCCACCCCTCCCGACTCCTCTAATAAACTTTAAGCCTCTCTCTGCGTCTCGGTCGGAAGTGACTCTCAGGGCGAGCCGAGGACTCACGGAACAACTACACTGGGCCACCCGGCATCAGTTGGGTACGCTTTGCTGTGGCTTCCAGAGTTCTCGGCCTCCTCCCTGGGGTGGCCACTCGCTGGATGGGACGATGGGAAGCTGGCCTCTGGCGCCTTTCAGGGGAGCTGGCCCTCGCTCTGGGGGGGACGGAAGGCGCTCGCTGCAGCGCCCGGCTCCGCCACGGTTCCACCGAGGGCCACACGGCACAGGAACCCCGGGCACTCCACGAAGAGACTCCCACGCGGAGCCTGCGTCCAGCCGGCAGTAAGAGCTCACTTCACTTCCCACGACGCCCCCACAGTGGAGGGCAGAAAGCAGGGGGCCCGGCCCGTCGCTCACCTGGGCGCGGCGGCACCCCGAGAAGGCTCCTCCAGGCAGCGCTGGCCGGGGTCTGCGGAGACAGGGGCGCCTGAGCTACCCGCCGCGCCCCCGCTCCGCCCTCCCAGCCTCCGCCGCCCCCGCGCCCCGCGCTCGCCGCCCGCAGCCCCACCGCCCGCAGCCCCAGCCGCAGCACCGCCGCCGCCGCCGCCATCGCACCGGCCCCGCGGGCACTTCCGGGTTGGGAGGCGTCTGCTTCCGGGGCGCCACTAAGCCCCGCCCTGGCCCCGCCCCCGGCCCCACGTGGTGCTAGCCG